GAATACCGATGAAAGTATTAACTATTTAAATTTAAGGTAATGTTAGGTGTATTCTAATAAAAGATACTTTATTTATACTTCAGACATTCACAAACATCTACAAACTCTCCTTGTGTGTGCATTTCTGTTTGTATAGATGAATATTTGGGTACAAATAGAACTATAGAAGACCCTATTTTGAGATAACCTAAGTTAAGTCTTGAATTTAATAGTAGATGAAAAAAGTTGGAACACAAATAATTGGGATTTGGGAGTGTACGAATAGGAACAAATAACAATGACACCTCTTTTCTGTTTCGGATAGAGTACGACCTTCTAATCATACGGTAGTATCGGTCAAGTCTTCATAAATTTTCCTAAATAGGGGTAGACATGTCAATTTACATTTTGTACCCCTAAATCATTGGACGAAATCTTCTTTTTAACCAATAAAACACGTAAAGAAAAAAAAAAGTACTACGTGTTATAGTAAAATTGGTTCCTAAATCCTCTGGATAAGAGTAGTTTTTATATACTTTCTAAGTCTCATAAACATGTTCTCATTTTTATTTTTAATAAATTTTAAGAAAAAATGTTTTTGTATTGACCTCTAAAATATTTTTGGTATGATGGATAAAAGTAATATGTGATAAATAGATTATTAGTAAAAATATGATAGGTAGAGTAAGAATTAGTATGGATAAAAGTGAGATTTTAAATGGTGTCTTGGTATTTGTATTATCTAAATTTAAAATATATTCTTAAAATGGTCATTTCTATACAATTACGTGTAAAATTAAAACAATACATCGAGTATACATAATCTATGAATTATTAATAAAAATCTATTAAAAATACTAAGAATTCGAATCAAATACACATCTTTAATTAATCATTTTAAGAACTTACGCTAAATTTAGATGATAAAAAATATCAAAATAATCATAATCAATCATCACTTGTATAACATTATTTACGAATAGTGTCTAGTAAGAGGAAATAAATTTCATGTATAAAGGACTACATAGGTAATAAAAATTTATTGAAGACTGATCTGAGAAAACACCTCATTAAAGATGACTATTTTAGGAATTTATTCTTCATTTTATGAAGGGAGCGCTTCATTTGGCGCATTAATTTTTTTTTTGTGAAATTTGTACTAAATGGGACTAAAACATAAGTCATTTCTCGATGTAGGACTTAAATTTTTTTATTTCCTAAATAATAGTACTTAATAATATCTAGTGAGAGGAATAATGTTCAGCGATAATGGACATTTACTTGAATAATGACTAATGGATATGTCTTATCTTGAAAAATAAAAACATATAATCATATTTTAAGAAAGTCATTATATTTTAGTCCTTATTTTTTTTCCTTTGTTTTTATTATTGATAATTGAGGCTCGGAGGTGACTGGAGCTGTGGTGAAGTGTGAAGTACGGAGTAACACGATTGGATAGTCCAGCTGTCCACGATCGTCAAAACTATCAAAACAAGGCATTGCCCGGCCTTGATGTTGGACTTTAAAAACACTAGACTTTGCCGTCGATTTTCGAAATCAAAATTGACCAAACAAGAGGTGTGAAGTAAATTAGGTCCAAGTTTGATTAGTGACAATTATGTGAGATTTAAATATGTTGAGCATAGAATTTATGTAAATATCAAGTGCATCTTTTACACCTTGCAGTTAATTTTACATTAAAATTTAATTTACTTTCTTTCTGGTGACCGTTCGGCCAGTTTTGTTGAGCCTCCAGAGAGTGCTCTTTTAGTTTTCAAAAAGTACTTCGTTCATTTGAATTTTAAGTTTGCGCTTCTGATTGAGTTAGTTCTTCGATATGATATCAAAACCAAAGTCTCTCTTCTCAAATATCTAGTCTATCTTTTTTACGGTCGTGTGCCACCGTCGATCTTTACCATCGACAGTCGATTGCCATAAAAAATGGCTTTGTTGCCTCTTATCCCTTAAGAAAGCATTCTCTCCAAAAAATATGAGCGTGCATAACAACTGTCGTTCTATATGTCTCTTTATCTCTCTTCGTCAAAAAAATTATGTGCGTGATCAAATCATCAAAGAGCTGAAAAATTGTACTTTCTGTCCATTGGTTTCTTTCTCTTTTTCTTGTTTAAGCTGTCCAAAAAACTCATTCCCATTTCCTATTTTGGCAACAAAATTTTAGTAAATGTGTCATTATACCCCACTTTATATCTACATTATTCACTCTATTTCTTCATATCAAGGGCAAACATAGAAAGTCTATATAATTTCTAATTTTTCTTAATCTTCGTGTCAAGTCAAAAAGGAAAAGAAATTTTTGGACGGAAGAAGTATTTGTTTTCGTTAATATAGAGTTCGCGAGCATAAAAATGATACTCCCTTCATCCTAAAATGATCTTCTCAATTCGATTTACGAGATTTGACTAAAATTATTTTTAATTTATTTGATTATAGGTGTAAAATTAAAAAATAAAAATTATATATTTTAAGACTACATCAAAAGGTCTACAAAACAAGAGATGACATGAATATATTATTTTATCAAATAACTAACAAAATAAGTAAAGGAAGTGATTTATAGTTTAACCAATGTGAATAGTATCTGGGAAAATTATTTCAGGACGAAGAGTGTATAAAAGCAGGAATATTAGCTAAGAACACATTACTTAACCTTTGTTTTTTTAAAAAAAATATGTGTATTGCCTTACTATTTTACAAGTAGTATTCATAAGATATTCATTATTTCTCTTTAATAGTAATAACAAATACTCGCAATATATATAGAAAACAGAAAGTGTGATATACAAAATGATAATGAAAAGTAGACGGAAGAGTAAAAAATTACAATTTAAAATTCTTTATTAATTAAAAATATCAAATATCATAATATAATATATTATTATTTTAATTATAGTTAAAGGAGTCGTTAACTCCCAGATGGATCGATTAACCCTTAACCACTAGCTCGTTTGGATCGATGTCATGTCTGATTCTAGAAATTGGTTTGGGAGGTACGTATGTGTGTGTGTCATTTATATATAATAATTTATACACTTTATTTTGTTAAGTCATTAATGATAATGCCTTTAAGTATTTTTCCGTCTCAACCCGGACCATTAAATTTTCAAGACCGATCTTGAAGATACCCTAAAGAACATATTATTTTTTTTGAAACACCCTAAAGAACATATAATAGGAGAAGATTGTCGTATCTAAGTTGGATTGGATGTTAACAGGCCACACAAACAAGAAAATTGGATTGCATGTACCTATCATTTGAGCCTCTTCTTTTTTTTTCTTTTCATTTTTAATTTTGAGCCTTTTTTTAGTGGTAGGTGAATATTGAAGAACAATAATTGAAGCTTTTTATTCACACGGAAGAACATTAGAGGAGCCCCTCAATTTCGGTTAGACGTCACGGAGAAGAGATAAATTGAACTTTAATCATAGATTGATGGCTGCTGAGAGTGAAGCTTGTACTTGATACTTGCAGAGACTCTATGTTTAACATAATTATTTTCCGGTGTAATTGTTAGAAATCAAACTCGAATCTACCCACAAGACTCCCGGCGCACACGAAAGCCTTTTTTATTCACAAATTGGCAGAGATTGATAGGATAGTGGATTAATTATATTAGTTAATTAATTATAATATTAATTATTAGTTATTTATTATTATTAAGCATACTTAGGGTTTTAGTTGGGCTCATGAGCCCATTAGGTCAATTAGTGTTACCTTTTGATGGTGTAAATTACTTGACCGGTCAAACTATACTAGACCGGGTCTAGAATAGTTTGCTTGATTTGGCCAAGTAAGAAAGGTAAAAACACGCAGATTGACCGGTAGGACTTTAGGTGGAACACCTGTAGCCCAATTTATATTATAACGGAGAATGCACGGGTGCTTTTACAAGGGAGTTTAGAGAGAGTGAATTCGGATCCCTTTCTGAGGTTTACATGAGTATTTATACTAGGCTAAGGGAACAGGACCACGTGCGCCCACGTGGGGGCATGCTGCCGATGTGGTGCGAGGTGACTGGTTTCGTCCTCAAGCTGCCTGTCGCCTTGTGAAGGGGATCATTCCCTTTGTCAAGTAGTGCCTTGGATGGATTCTTCAGCATCTCCAGTTGTCCTCTACTGACACGGGTCGCTACACGCCAAATCCGCGCAGATCCTCTCCTGCCGACACTTTCCAACCCCAGAAACTACACCGGGTAATCTCCGAGGGATGAATTTATCGAAGTCTGGAATAAATAGGACGAAAGCGTAGTTTGACCGGTATACTTTTTGTGAAGTATACCGGTCATATTTTGGCCGACGATATGTCGTTTTGCTGACGATTTAAGTCTCCCTTCCAAAACTCTCAAGATTGACCGGTCAACTATTTGGCCTTCTTCTTTGACCGGTCGTGGGTGGAATACACCCATCAATAAGCCCTCCACTTCTCGGTCATGCAATTTGTCATGAGCGGGAAGTAAAAAATCCTGAAAAACNCCAGAAACTACACCGGGTAATCTCCGAGGGATGAATTTATCGAAGTCTGGAACAAATAGGATGACAACGTAGTTTGACCGGTATACTTTTTGTGAAGTGTACCGGTCAAATTTTGGCTGATGACATCGTTTTGCTGACGATTTAAGTCTCCCTTTCAAAACTCTCAAGATTGACCGGTCAACTATTTGGCCTTCTTCTTTGACCGGTCGTGGGTGGAATACACCCATCAATAAGCCCTCCACTTCTCGGTCATGCAATTTGTCATGAGCGGGAAGTAAAAAATCCTGAAAAACGGGTTCAAATTTGAATTTCAGACTTTTCCCGCCTGAAAATTTCAAAATTTGAAATTTGAACTCAGAGTTTTTGACACGTGTTGGACACACGTCGTTGCAACGGTCGGCGGCCCACCCGTCGTTTCGCCTGCCAGTGGGTCATCATTGCGCTGCCTGACGCGGCGCAACCTGGAGAGGCCACATCGCCTGATTCGGCTTCCTCCCTCCTATATAAAGGCCTCCAACCCCTTTCACTCCTCACTTTTCGCACTTCGCCTCCTAGAGCTTTCACCGGTCAAGTTCCTTATCTTCGCTATCCAGCCCTCCGAGTCAAGTAAGTTCCCCCTTCCTTCTCTTTTTTCCTTCCCGGCCATGTCTTCGTTTAGTGATAGGATCTCGTCCTCAGAGGACTGCTCCTCTGAGGATTCCAACTCATCTTCCTCGACCGGGTCTTCTTCTCGTGAATCTACGCCCGGTCAGGTTCCCAACTCTTCCATTCCCGACCCGCGTCCTGTAAACCAGGTGCCCGGTGAAACTTTCGTGGGGAAGGATGACCCGGTCGATGACGAACCGGGCCCCTATGACCCTGAACACGAAACCAGGGATGCATGGGAGGAGAGGCTTCATGCCGCCGGTTACTTTCCGCTCCCCACCTTCTACGTCCTCGACATACCTTCCCGTGAATCTAAAATTGCCTTAAACAAAATCCGTAGGAGGCTCCCGGATGGGTATACCCTCCTCTACGAACCTAACTGGCCCAATATCGTTGAACCCCACCGGGAGGATAGGATAGGGTTTCATACCATTTCCCTGGACGCGGGCATAGTCTTTCCCCCTCGCTCCCTCCTCATTGAAGTCTGCCATGCGTTTAGGATTTTGCCCGGCCAAATAACCCCTAGCGCCCACCGGTACCTTCATTCCTTCATAAATATTTGTACCCATCTGAAAATCTTCCCCTCTTTGCGTCTTTTCCTTTTTTGTTTCGAAGTCCTACCGGGCGGATCCGGCTGCGAAGGGTTTGTATTCTTCAAAGCCCGTACCGGTAGGAAGTTCATTTCCGAAGTCCCCTAGAGTAACCGGGGATGGAAGGAAAAGTTTGTTTTCATCGAGTTTCCCCCCTTCTTCACTCCTCTGGCCGGTCTGAAATGGAATGACCATCTCCTTGACCAAGAGTACGCTGCACCGGCTTCCTCCCCTGACTTGGAGGCGAGTCTTGAAGTTCTCATGCGCGGGGATCCTTACACCGGGAGGGTCTTCCACTATGGCAGCTGGGTCTGGAGGGTCGAGTCGGGTGGTGAGGGTACCTCCCCGGCCCATGAAGCAGCGGGGCGCGGGGTACCCTCCCCGGGCAACACTGCAGAGGCTGAGGGCCAGAACCACCCAGGTATTTCCCATCTTTCTTGCGATTCGTATTTGACCGGTCGAACTATTTGTACTTAACGGCTTTAGTTTCTTTCGCAGATATGGAGTTCGAAGAGTTTGCCATCCCTGATGACCAACCGGCGGGGGAGACCGGGGGCTCCCAAGCCAATCCTTCCAAAACCTTCCCGGTCCATCAGGAGACCGTGGAGATTTTGGATGAGGACGAACCCCAAGACAACCGGTCCAAGGGGAAGGAGAAAGATAAAACCGGTCGCCGGACCAAGAAGGTGGCCACCACGCACCCATCTTACGCCAAGAAAAGGGCAAGATCGGATTCTGAGCCGGCTGGCCAGACCGTCGAGGAGGCCTTTGTCAACCTTGGGCTGAGGCTGAGGGAGGTAAGTTGAATTCTCCTCCCGGTATGTTAGGTCCCTGCTTTCCTCTGAAGTCTAACCGGTTGGTCCACGCATGTTACAGGTTGGAGAAATCGGCCCCCTTACAGCTGACCGGCTGGGGTTTGGCTCTTCTTCGGAACTTGCCCGGCTGAAGAAGGAGAAAGAGGAGATGGCTCTCATCTTGAAGAGTCAAGCTGACGAGCTGACCAGGCTGTCTGGGCTAGCCGGGTCTATGAAGGTGGAGATCTCTCAGTTGAAGGAAGAAAACTGCCGGTTACTCGACGAGGTTTCTGGGGCGAAGCAGGAGATATCCCAGAAGGAGAAAGACTTCCCCGGTCGTGCTGCCGCATGGGTGGGAGAGAACAAGGCTGAAGCCGCCCGGGTGATGACGGCTAGCCCGGAAGCTACCATGGAGTCCTTCAGGCTTCTTTACCGGGAGCCTGAGGGGAAGAAGATGATCACCGCTATTGGGTCCTTCGGATTCAAGAGCGGTCAGAAGAAAGACTGGGCTGCTTCTCATCGGATCTTGAAGAAAAGGGACCAGGACTTTACTGCAGCTTCATACGGCCTGGCTCCCATCCCGGAGGAAGAGCCTACTCCCCCATTTCCCCTTGATTGATCTCCCCGGCTGCGCCCGGCTGAACTATTTTATGTAAACTTCGAATCCATTTCCCCGGGAATGCCTGGTGTACTTGTAAACACTTAACTTTCTTATTCCTTTTTAATGCAATGCTGAATTTCCATACCGGTTAGTCTTCCACATCTGATTGTTTGATTTATTTTTTGATCTTGCTCCTTAGAAATCCTGACCGGTAGCCCAATCAGACAACTTCTCATTTGTTTCTGACCGGTGGAACTTCAAAGTTCTCTTTGATCTCTTCATCTGAAGGATTAGCTCAATTGTTTTCGACCGGTTAAACGTCAATTTTCGCTTTTCGAACGTCTTCATCATTTTGGCCAACTTAAACAGTTTGACCGGCCGAAATTTACTTTTGCCTTTTGGATAACTTCACCAATTCTTTTGGCAAAATTTACTTTGACCGGTGAATGCCCACGCCATGGTTTGACCGGTCAACTGCCTTGCCTGATGGATGTAGAACTTTCGAAGTTCTGATGTGCCCATACCCGACCGGGGTATTTTTTTTTTTTCGGTAGGTTGTAGATGGAAGCACCTGTAACCTAGTAATTTCTTGAAGTATCCTTAACCGGTAAGAATACTGGAGATTTAACCATGTTCGAATGGTTTCGAACCCTCTCCAAGGTTCAAATGCACCCTTCTTCCAGGGCCCCCTCTTCCGGGTGATTAAGTCTTTTAATGGCCCTTTGATTTCTACCATCCCGGGAAGGCCTTAGCTCACCCCCCCGTTCAAGTCTTCCCT